ATTGCCATAAATCTAAAATAAAGACAGATCATCAACTATCCAAAAATCATTTGTAACATGATACAAATAAAAAATCACTGCAGGAATAGTTAATAATAATGACCACAATAACTCCACCTTCGTAATGTTGGCGTGCCATAGGGCTCAGCCTTTCTTTTTCTATCTGTACTCACCTCCTTAAAATCCTGTGTAGTCTTTCATGATCTTATATTGTCTTTTTCAAATACTATCTATACAAAGATAAAGGTCAAATATGCATCTCCCCATTGGACCTTTCTCCTACACTACAGACTGTATATTCAATGCCTAGTCAACATCATCAGCAAATCTTCTCAGTTCTACTTTCAAAATATGCCCCAAATTTAGCCACTTCTCACAACTTTTGCTACTGCCATCCTGGTTCAAGTCATCATCATGTTACTATTGGGTTTCTGCAACAGACTCCTAACGAGTGTTCCTGCTTCCACCCTTCCCTTCCTGCCTTCTATTCGCAATGCAGCAACCAAAGTGATCTTATGAAAACTAGTCAGATCATGTCACCCCTCTGCTCAAAATCCTCCCCTGGCTTCTCCTCTTGCTTATCTCCTTCTCGGCTACCCTTGGCTCCCTCCAGCCCCACGGCACCCCTTTGCAGTTTCTATTTTTTCCTAATAGTGTTTGGATCCTTGATTTGTCTCTAGCCTCCCTTTTTTATCTAATTCTGTTAATTTATCTCATCTTTGCTATTTTTGTTTCATTGATTACATATTCTTTTTAGTACCTCCTAGAGCAAGGGTACTTAAAGTGCTTGTCCATGATAATCTAAGACGCATGCACCAGAATGTAAACTATGCTGCTTCCTGCTTTGAGAGTGTCTTGCTAGGAAAAAAAATGTCAGCTGAACTAAACAGCATAATTAGTGATGTAGTTGATTTACATCCTGGCACAATCTGCTTATGTCTTCATTGGTAAGAAACAGTTCAGAGACTGGCATCTTGTTCGTGGACTACACTTTGAGTAGCACCATCCTAAAATGTAAACATTTGTTGTATAAATTTTTTAGCTTCTTTGTTACATATTTAATAGCAATAATAGCTGCTAACATTTATTGAGTACTTACTATGTGCCCAGCACCATTCTAAGCCATTTTGATCTTCATAAACCCCTAAGGATAGGGACTATAATTATTTTACAGATAATGAAATCAAAGCAAAACTATATTGATTAATTTATACAAAATCACAGTTATTTTATAGCAGGAAGGAGATTTACACTCAGGCAGTCTTATTCCAGAGTGCATAGTCTTCATGAAATGGAATTTTAAATCTGTTTTTGTATGCTATGATTCTTCTTTATATTCTTTTATATTTCCTGTAATATTTTACATATTTACCGTAGCATATTTGCCATGTTTTTTTTTTTCTTTCATTCCTCTTCTGTTTAATATAGAGAATTCTACTGGGGTCCTCTTTTGCATAAATATAAAGTGGATACATTCTGGACTCTCCTTCCTTCTTATCTCAGATAAGATCTTCCCTTCAGAACTTTAGTTTAAGGGCACCATTTGGATTGATTATGTTTCTTCACATTTCTGTTTCCTGAGGGGATGGATATGTTTCACTCTGTTGGGCTTTGGTGAATAGTAATTGGTAGTTTTTGTCTTATGTCTTTTCTGGGGCAAGGGATAGAGTTGGGGTGTCATTCTATCAAGTTATAAGTTTTTTTTAAAAAAAAAAAAGCTTAGCCCTATGGAGAGCAATTTGACCAAATGAATCACTGTTCCAAATGGAAATCCCATTGGGGGAATTGTTCTATAGACAAACTTGCGCACATATGAAATGCTTTTTGTACAGAATTATCCATTGCAGCATAGTTTGTCCTAGAAGTAGACTGGAAACAACTCACATATCCAAGAACAGGGAATGATTATGGGATAGCCACATGCTGCATGATTATGTAGTTGGAAATAAGAGGAAGTTCTCTATGTGCTGTTATGGAAAGCCCTGCAGATATAAAGGGAAAAAGCAATGTATACTAATGTTTATCTATCCACTGCTGTTTGGCATTTATATGCCATGTATACGTATGAATAATGATACTTTTTTTGAAAAGAATAACAAGAATATTCTTTCAAATTATTCTTATTTTGAATTTTGGGACATTTTTGAAAAAAGGAAAGAAAAATAAGAATATATGTTCATAGAGAAACAGTGGAAAGATGCAGGAGAAACTGATAAAAGTGGTCACTAGCAGGAGACCATGGGGATAAGTAACAGAATGGATGGAGACACACCACCACCTTTTTTTAAAAAAATGTAAATGAAAATGTATATACATACACATTTTAATTTTTATGAACAGTGGTCTCACATGCTTCTTCCAAGTGGCACCCTCACTCTCCTTCCATTTAGCTGAAGTAAGGAGGTGAAACCTAAATTTTTTAAGCCTGGTGTTCATTGTTCTGATGGAGGAGGACTTTAAAGGAGGCTTTCCAGGATTCCTTTGGCCAACTTCAGGTTTCCTTCAGCATGCCATGCCTTTCCTTTGTTCCAATAGAGCCCTTTTTATTGATGGAGTTAATCAGCCCACAGTGAAGCACAGTCATGTCCTCTCACTTCCTCCCAGCCCTGGGAACCACACTGCAGTAATGAATCCTGACCATCTCTCCATGTCTGAGTCACAGTGATGTTATAAACAGCACAGCTTTCCACAGCTTGTTCCCTTGGCAGTCTCCTTACTCCCTCCCTCCAGATTAGAAGGTTATAGTGAAGTTTTATAGACATTGCCACTAGCTTTTTTCTCTCGGTGTGATTAGGTGGGTGACACTGCTTGGAAGTTGGAACAATGCATCATAGATTTCTGAAGTCTTTTGCTCTTTTTTTGCTAACTGGCATTTAAGAAAAATAAGTCGAAGTTGTAATTCTTTGTTTTTATTTTAAAAGATTTTGTGATCTGCCTTGACACACTATCTTACCCTAGAAGTTTTTCATATTCTTTATAAATGGCTGTTATATTCCTTCAAAGCACTTGTCTGTACCAGCTAGTGACTAAGATAATGGTGTTGAATTCAATGATAAGTGTAGATCATTTTAATTGACAGAAAATAGATGCCTCTGGATGGTTTAACAATTGTTTTCTCATTCAGGGGAAACTTCTTTCTGCAACTTTGCTTAGCAAAAATTTTTATAATGCAGGAACAAAAGTCAGCAGTGAATCCTAATCAGTGAAGAGAGTCCAAATTAATTTGGTTTTATTATTTTGGATGTATGTATGTCACATTTTAGAGTTATTATGCCTTAGAATACATTCTCTTGGTAACTAGCACAATATACCATGGAGCGAGAACCTAAAGTACAGACAGAGTGAATGACAGGGAGTGGTCAGCAGTTTCCTCACTAGTCAGAGGCAGCTGCAAACATTTTTACTCATATACATTAGAATGAAATTCTCTATGTTTTTTTCCTTGGTTTTCGTTCCCATGACACTTTTCACCACTTTTGTTGAACAGTTTCTTCTAAACCTGAATTATTTAGGCATATGTAGCCATGTTACTTATGTTGTTATGAATGTTATAATTTCTTCTTGAGGTCTGGCCTTTGCCCATAAAGAATAAGTAAAAATGCTCTGGAATATAGCCTGTGGCTGATATTTGAAAATATGAAACCTGTATTTATATATTCTAAATGTTGTCTTTTGATAAAAGAATTCCCCTTGAAACTGCCTGTTTAGGGGGTTTTATTAGGAATATTGCCAACGTTTTCTGAAGAGTTATTTAAATTAGATTCACATGGTGTACTTTTCTTTCACAGTTGATCTGGTTCCTCCACTCTGAATTTAGAATTTTTTTTAATAAAAGAATGAGTCTAGGCCAGGCGCAGTAGCTCATACCTATAATCCCAGAGCTTTGAGAGGCTGAGGTGGAAGGATTGCTTGAGCCCAGAAGTTCAAGACCAACCTGGGCAACATATGAAACCCCATCTCCTCCAAAAAAACAAAATTAGCCAGGTGTGGTGGTGTGTACCTGTAGTCGCAGCTACTCCAGAAGCTGAGATGGGAGTATGGCTTGAGCCTGAGAGGCAGAGGTTGCAGTGCAATAAGTTGAGATCACACCACTGCACTCCATCCTGGGCAACAGAGCCAGACCTTGTCTCAAAATAAATAAATAAATAAATAACAACAACAACAACAACAAAAAACAAGAATTGAGTCTAGACTATAATCATTCTTTGTTGATTTCACTGGAGAAAGTCTCAAGTCTTTGTTTCTGGAGTTCACTTCCAAACTGAGATGTTAATTTTTCCCTAGGTGAATAAATATATTTTCTTCAGTAGCTACAGAATTTATTGGAAAAAGATATTTCTTACTTTTCACACACTCTTATTATAATTTATTCTCCATTAGGTTCACCATCACCATAATGCCTGACTCCTGACAAACAAAAAAAAGCTCTGAACCAGTGAATCCTGGACATCATTTCACTTGACATTTCGGATTTTCCGTTTATGTTAAGTCAGTAGAGATGCTGCCAGTCATTGTTAGGATATTTGATTGTTAGGATATTTGTGTTCTATTTTGTTGGTGCTTGATACGAAATATATTTATGCTTAATATTTGAATATTCAGTTTCTTTAGATTTTCCTGTTTCTAGTCTGCATGGTAATTTGATAATGGAGAAATTAGATTTAAACTGCATAAAAAGATAGAGTGGTACCTCTCACAAAAATACCAGCGTCATTTATTTCAATCTGGAGGTTTGTAGTGCTAATGTAACGCCATTTACATTTTCCAAATATCTCCCATTAAATTGGACCCTTTATTTAACATACCCTTCAGCTGCCTCTGAGAGCCCTTGTGAAGCTTACAAAAGGCTAGTAGTTTAGCTTCCCAATTATCTGTTTGTCATTTATGTAGTTGGATCTGTCTATTATAATCTTTTTGATCTTTTCAGGTTGAATGAAACTTTCCATTTTAAATGTTTTGATTAAATCTATAATATTCTTCTGTTTTGTTACTTCTTTTAGATTGAAAAGAAATGCTGAGAAATACATAAAGTTTTCCTCTTCTGCCTTGGATATTTATAATGGGTATCGGGAAGTCTAAAATAGACTCTTGCCCTCTTTCTCTCTCTTGGGGTAAAAGGCACAGTGTGGATACAAGTCCAGGATATCATGAGTCAGATTCCAAGAAGTCTGAAGACCTATCCTTGTGTAATGTTGCTGAGCACAGCAATATAACAGAGGGGTCAACAAGAAAGCAGGAGGGAGCTCAAAGCGTGGAAGAGATGCTTGAAGAAGAAGCTGAAGAAGAGGTGTTCCTCAAATTTGTGATATTGCATGCAGAAGATGACACGGATGAAGCCCTCAGAGTCCAGAATCTGCTACAAGATGACTTTGGTATCAAACCCGGAATAATCTTTGCTGAGATGCCATGTGGCAGACAGCATTTACAGAATTTAGATGATGCCGTAAATGGGTCTGCATGGACAATCTTATTACTGACTGAAAACTTTTTAAGAGATACCTGGTGTAATTTCCAGTTCTATACGTCCCTAATGAACTCTGTTAACAGGCAGCATAAATATAACTCTGTTATACCCATGCGGCCCCTGAACAACCCCCTTCCCCGAGAGAGGACTCCCTTTGCCCTCCAAACCATCAATGCCTTAGAGGAAGAAAGTCGTGGCTTTCCTACACAAGTAGAAAGAATTTTTCAGGAGTCTGTGTATAAGACACAACAAACTATATGGAAAGAGACAAGAAATATGGTACAAAGACAATTTATTGCCTGAGACGAAACATATAACGTGTGGCTGGCTCCTGTTTTGTAAACCAAATGATTAATCTTCACTTGAGAAAGCAGTTTCTAGGAAATGTTTAAATAGAAGAGAGTCTTAGTCTTAAAGAAACCTATGGAGCACAAGAAAGATAAATTTCTGCAGGACAATCTATAAAATTGTGGTACTTTTTGATGTTTCGGTAAACTTGACATTGTCAGTTTCAAGGACTTTTCTTTCACAATTTTCCTAGTTCATGGATATGAAAAAGGAATTCTCAATCCATATTCCTTGTACTGAACCTTGAACAAGAACTTGTATGACAGACATTTTTAAAAATGTGACAACACTTTTATTCTCTGAATTTTGATCTCAAAGGACACAGAAAAAAAATGGCCCCAGGAGATTTGGTCACACTTCCTCCTGAGATGCGTCTCAAGGATGTTGCAATAAGCTTTCGGGTACTGTCACCTAGAAATATGAATTGCCAGAATAGAACATTTAGCATATTGAGTGTTGATGCATATAAAATCAGAAATAGATGTGAGAATGGTGGAACTTTCTAAAAAGAACCCAGTCAAATGTATTTTCTGCTGAAATCTGCATATTCAGAGGCATTTCCCACCACCGATTCACAGCCCATTTGATAGTGTGGTAGTCAGGGACTTCATGGAGTGGTGTTCAGACATCCCCTGGGGCTTAAAGCTCTTCATATTAGTCATCATCTGTAACTACGGCTTTATTTGCAGAGCTTCTAAAAGGCGTATAACTGTGTGAGTGGCCAGATACTCACTTTTAAAATCAATAACCTCTCTTATGGAAGCTTTAAAGAAGTTTCCCTCACACACAATCCTCTTCTCAGGAAGTATTTCTCATTTAGGTCTTCAAAGTAGCCTGACTGTGTGCATGTGTGTGTGTAATGGGTTATTTGTAAAGACTTTGGATAGAAGGAGATGTATTTTATTACCTCCTGTTCTAGAGCCCCATGCTTCTAACAAGCCAGAGAGGCCCCAAACAGGATTGTTTCTTTTCACCACAGCCCTTCTGCCCATCTGAGACTGAGGGAGTATCGTCCACTTGCGATCAGGGATGGGGTGGAGAATGAGTCATGTCATGTAATGAGAAAAGCACTCTTCAGGATCATGAGACCTGGTTCTAGTCCAATCTCTGCCACTGAGGATGAATGTAACTGTGGGCAAACTATTTACCCTCCTTTATATGTGAAATGAAAGGGTTGAATTGATGGATCTCTAAAGGCCTTTGTCCTCTATGAGGATGTGAAAAACTAGGAACCACAAAAGGGAACAAGCAAAAAAGTTCGGATTTGATAAAGTGATATATAATAGTTGCAGAAGGCTTTATATATGCTTAAAATGAAAATATCTTTTTTGTATATTGACAGCATAATTGATTTTTAGTGCTGTCATTACACTTTTAAAGTCACAGAAAAAAATATACATGCTTACTCAGGTTTTCTTAAAAATAAATGTTTATAGAGATCCTTGAGTAAAGACATTTTGCTTAATTTCTTTCTTCTTATCCCCACTTGTATATCCCCTACCAGTACTGGGATCTGCACACATCTTTCTGCAGTTACCTCTTCATAGCCATGAACCAAAGCGTTCTATGGGGAGCATGCAAGTAAGTCAAGCCTCCTATTCTGTTAGCACTTACTAGAGGAGGAGATTGTTTTCATTGCATGGCGACATTTTCTTAGCCTTAGTGTTCTGATAGTAGCTGACTACTCACTTCTGTTTTTCAGTTTTCATAATAAGTATTCATTTTTTTGCCATAATGCTTCCTGTAAAGCCAATTTTATATACTAATAAAACATGAACTGCCCACTCTTCATGTCTGCCAAACTTGGGGCAGTTGATGCTAAATGGTATTTTTAAAATAAATGTTTTTATTTACTCTTGACTAAACTTGTTTATTTTCAACTCCAATGAAGATTGTGGAAGAGTGTTTTGAAATGAAGCATCGATTTGTACTTCATAGAGCACCAGACACAATGTCTCACCCAATTTGGAGTTCCATATTTTTTTATGATGAAGAAAAATGTTAAGTGCTGAATTATTATATGTGTTGAAATTATCAATTGTAACAAAATAGCTAAACTGAGGATGAAAACAGGTAAAGGTGTGGGCTTAGTCATGTGTTTGTGTGTTGTGTACATATGTGCATGTGCACACACACATATCTAAGTGCATACACATTCAGGAAATCTGGGGAATTTTGTTCATGCTGAAGACTTTCATTTTGAGTACTCTTTGGCCTTATGCCCACCCTGGAGCATTTACAGGGAAGAACTCGAGTTGGTCTTAGTGTATCAGTTTAGGGAAAACCCCATGCCACAGTGGCCTAACCATAAAAAAACCCTTGTTAACAAGAGGTTCACCAAGGACAGGGCTCAAAGATTGTCATTAAAAACCCGTCGTATTACTGAAATATTACTGAGTTCTAAAAAGGAATGAAATTCTGATACATGTCTATAACATGGAACCTTGGAAAATATTATGCTAAGTAAAATAAGCCAGATACAGAAAGGACAAATATTATATGATTCCTACTTATATGAGGTAGATTCACAGAGACAGAAAGAATAGAGGTTACTAGGGTGGAGGAGGGAGGAATAGGAGCAATTGTTTAACGGGTACAGAGTTTCGTTGGGGGTGTGATGGGTAATGGTGATGATAACACAACATTGCGAAACGTACTTAAACCACTGAATTGTACACTTAAATATGGCTAAAATGATAGATTTATGTTTTATATATATATAGTTATATATATATTTTTTTTTTTTTTTTTTTTTTTTTTTTTTTTGAGACAGAGTCTCGCTCTGTCGCCCAGGCTGGAGTGCAGTGGCCTGTATCTCAGCTCACTGCAACTCCGCCTCCCGTGTTTACGCTATTCTCTGCTTCAGCCTCCCGAGCAGCTGGGGACTACAGGCGCCGCCCCCTCGCCCGGCTATGGTTTTTTTTTTTTGTATTTTCAGTAGAGACGGGTTTCACCGGATTAGCCAGCATGGTCTCGATCTCCTGACCTCGTGAGTCGCCCGCCTCCGGCCTCCCAAAGTGCCGGGATACAGGCTTGAGCCACCGGCGCCGCGTTACTATATACTTTTTAACCATGTTGACAAATTGCTATTTCCCTTATCAAAATTCCTTAGAACCAGAAGTGTTTTGCGATTTGGATGTTTCTGCATTAAGATGCTCAACTTGTAATAAAAAGACAAAGATAAGAGTGCGAAAAAACAATCCCAGGTTTTCCATCTTCTTTGCTCTGCCATTCTCAGTGTTTCGTTGAGCTCCCTTCCAAGGCTGTTAGCCTGACCTGCTTCCAGTGTGCCGACATCCGTTATACAGACACGACTAGGGTCCAGCCTAATAAGGATATACGGAAGTGGTGCCAAACGATGTGGAAAAAAATTCACTGCATTATTGAAAATTGTTGATACCCAATAATAAGAACAGAGCATCCTGACTCCCAGCCGGTTCCATTATTTCAAAATTCCTCCCTACCTCTACCCCTAAATGGAT